ATAAGGGTAGGTTTTTGTTTTGCTTCCTTACCAGTCAACGGTCAAAATAAGATTTTAAATATAAATTTCGTATAAAAAAAGTAAGTTTTTAAATGTCTGAGATAACTCCTAAGCTTTTGCTAAAATCTTTTCTTTATTTCAGACTATATTCGCGAAAATGTATTGCACCAAATGCAAAGGATACCGTGATTCTCGCTACTCTTCCTGCGGTGGTTCTTGTGGTAGCGGAAATTGCCAGCATGTTTGTGCCAGTTGCGGGGAGCATTCCTTAATCGATTATACGGTGCAAAAAGTTGGTGATGAGTTAGGACTTACTAAAAGTAATCCAATTTTAATGCAATTTCAAGAAAGAATGGCTCGAGTAAACGCTGGTGGTTGGAGAGATGAATTTACCATGAGAATTGACGAAGCTACCGTAGATGGTTACCGAGGACCTACTCGTTATGTCACTTATAACAAAAATAAAAAATTTCAAATCACAGGTGTGACTTTTTACGATGATTACTAATTTTTTATTAAGTTTTAGTTTTTCGTTTAGGTAGTAAGTTTTTAATAAAATTATGTTATTATGAAAGACAATGTTTTTGTTGTTATTGATAAAAAGAAGGATGGGAAATTTCGTTGTGAAGAAACGATTAAATCGTCTGATTTTCAAGAAGGAAAAGATTACATTGTTGAAAGCAAAGATGAATATTCCCTTCTTTCTTATGAATTGAAAAAGCGTGTTTTGAATATTCTTAACACTTTGAGTAATGAATATCCTCTTGATTGTTTCGACTATAAAGTGGTGATTAGTAGAGAAAATTGTGGCGAAGAATTTTGAGAAAGTATTTTTCCTAAAAATGGAGGGAATTTCGTAGGGATAGGGATAAACAAGGAACAAAGTAATGATGAGAAGGCAAATTTGATAATTCAACCTGTTCGTCCTTCTTTGGATGACTTAAACCCAGCCATTAGGGAGTTTAACAGTTTATTTAAATCAGGAATAAAGAAAGATAAATTATCCTTTGTAATTAATGCGGTTAATTCCGAAGCCGAGAAAAAAGCCACCCACGATTATTTAGCCCAAACCGATTATTATATTTGCCCTCTTTCTTTACCTGATAAAATTTCTTATCGGGAAGTTCAAAACCAAGGATTAAGTATTGCAGAAGTCAAATATAAGCGATTAAGTAAGCAAGTAAAAGAATTAGTGAAAAGTATATTAAAAAGGTATAGAGGCTATATTGTATAGAAGCTAGATTTTTAAGAGGAATAATTTCTGTTAATTTCCCCATCGCCCAAGCAGTTTTCTATTACTGCTCCCCCGATACCCCAA